GTTTATTATTCTATTACTTTCGGTCCAATTTGTTAGCCTGTCTATTAAAGGATATTTCGCGGTAGTGACACGGTAATCCTACATCACCTTTCTTATATATGGGATATATTATGTTTTTCACAAACGATTCGTAAACTATAACGTTGTTAAACATGTCATTACAAAAAAATTGTTGTCTCGATAGAAGTTCATCTGATGCATATTTAATGAATTCATATGGTATTCTGTCTTCTCCCGGAGCTTTGTTACTTTTTGTTCACTCAATAAACTTTTTCACTTCTCTTAGTGTTATAGTTATGTCTAGCTCAACTTCCATATAACCGTGAGCATATTGTATATCTAACGATGTCTGTGACGAGTTTATTAAATTACTAAAGTATAATTTCAGCACTTCTGCCTCAATTGTAATCGTTGGACTTGTATTTCCATTTATTTCTCTCGCAATTTTCCACCAGTCTTTGTTTGTCTGTACATTTTGTATCTTAGCATCCAATTGTTGGTAGTATCTCTGTTTGGCTTCTGGACATATAACTTTATAGTGCTTATTATCTTTTAAGTAAATCTCTTTGTTCTGGCTGCTACTTACTTGTCTAAATTTTTCTAGGCATTAATTTATTTTCTAATCCGTTGATATTATACGATACTATACTTAAACTATGCTATTTCTTTTATTTGTTTACTTATTTTATATTCTAGTTTTTTGACTTTTCTAATAGGTTCTTAAAGTCTAAAGTAAATTTCTTAATACTATCACCATACTTATGCTTAAGGATGTCTTCGGCCTTTTGAACTCCACACATTAAGATGAACTCCTTATTGAATGTGCACCAGTTTTCGCCTATCTTGATTGCATCGTTTTTTCTTGCATTCTAGTCTTTTCTTATCTAAGTCCCTCTCTATTGTTATTTTATGTCCTGATAAATTTTTGACACTTTTAAAAACTTCTGTTGCCATGTCTTCAGAACCCATTTCTACTACTACGCTTATTCTTTCATTTCTTGTGTAAATAATTCTTGCTGACGTGATTTTTACCTCTGGCAGTTTTAACAACTGATTGCAAACCAATTCAACTGCTGTTTTTGGACTGTTAGCTTTATCTAAGCCTTTAAATATTACATTTTTCCTTTTACTTTGGTTTATAAGGCGGTTTATTTCTAATGGCTCATGTTCGCTCTCGCGCTTATTTTCTCTATTTCCTTTTTGAGTTCGCTATTCTTCTTAGCTAGGTTTTCAACTTTATGGTTTATATTACCCATCTTTGCTTTTATGTCTTCCAGATCTACTTTCCAGATCTACTAAGAAGATCTACTTTTGTGGCCATATTTTTGAGTTTATCATTTAATAGGTTTGATAATACACCAATTAGATCTGATAGCTGCATATTACCCACTGATTTTTTGAGTTCCATACTTTCCTGGTATTCAGGCGGTGTGTCCTTCAGCATTTTTTTCGTACCGCAACTTGTGCGAAAAACATGCTGGAGTGTTCGGTGGTGTGCGATTCATTTTTGGCATTATAAAGATAATCTTGTACTAAATCAAAATGATTATTGTTAAACATTAATTTTATTGTTTCAATTTAACTTATAGTCTACTTTTAGCTATTTTACAACGAGATCACGTATAGTGTCGACATTAACCCATTCTGAGACACTGTTTAGTATAAAATTCGTTCACTTTTCAAAAGTTTAATAGTTACTTTGAAACCTTGTTTCACTTTAAAAGCTTGTTTTAAATAATAACAAAGGCTTTACGCTTCATTTCACAAGAAACTGTTGTTTTTGTCTGGCGAAGTCTTACTTTTATATCGAAAAGTACATTTAATGTTTTGATCACTCCAAACACTGATGGTAGAGGACACTTTTAACTATTAATTTATTTTCGGGTATCATTAATTAATCACATACCCAAAAAATTTTGAAAATTACCCCGTGCTCAAGAACTTCACTTTATTAGGTTTGCCAGGATATCTTGGGACTCAGGACATTTATACGCATTCTGACTCTCTTTTTTGTTGATTTGACTCCACCTAATTTATACAAACAGCTGACAGTACTTATAATGATTTATACTCTGCTCATAAAATACTCATAAACACCGACATTTGACACAAAAGTGATGCAAATGATTTGTGAATCATTTATGAGTATTACTTCACATTCGTGAAAATCGTTTATTACGAAAAAATTTCATTTAACAACTAATATGATTTTAAGATTTTATTATATAAGAGCAACTAATTATGAGTTGCAATTTTTTTTTTAATATAATTATTGCTAAAACAAACCAAAGAAAAGCATAACTATGTATTAAAGGGTATAAGTATTCCAGAAGTTATTTGCCTCAAAATTGCTTAACAGTAATATAATATTAAACCATTAAAACTTTTGTGTGATAAATTTAGTTATAAAATTCAAATATTTATATTTCTAAAAATTAATAATAAAATTTTATTGTGCAAAGTTGCGCTAACAATTATATATAAATATAAGAAAAATTTTGGGTGTTCAAAAAACATTTAATTAAAGATTATTGAACCGCCTTAGTTTTATTATTATTTTTTATTATTATTATTTTTTATTATTATTATTTTTTATTATTATTATTTTTTATTATTATTATTTTTTATTATTATTATTATTTTTTATTATTATTATTTTTTATTATTATTAAGCAAAATCCACGTCGTAGATGTAATCAAATGGACTTAAGCAAAATTCATGTTGTAGATGTAATCAAATGGACTTTAGCAAAATCCACATCGTAGAGGTAATTAAATGGTCAAAGAAACCAAAATATCCCACGAATGTGACAATATTCCAAATAACATATTGTGTTCTTTTCTTTCAACTTTCAAAATGATACGAGAGCCACTATTTGTATTTTGAGCCTTGGCAACACTGATTGTTGTCAAGTGTCATCTGACATTTCCATACGAAAGTTTGACATTATTAAACATAATCTACCTTAGTGATTTGTAAATTGAATGTTCGCAACAAAATGAAAAAATATTCGTGCAATGATTTATCACGACAGTCGACGTAGATTATCAAGACAAGGGTGCATTGATTAACTTACTTCGACATTTGGCGATGAAACTCCATCCCTTGTCACTGCGAAACGTTGGTACAATGATTTTAATTATAGCCTAGTCTGGTCATTAGGTAACTACGAGTATACCATTACAGAAATATAAAACGGTCAATTCCGAAGGGTATACAACATTTGTTTACCGGAAGTCTTTAGTGAAAAACGAAAAACAAACAAGCGTTGTAAGATCATTCTCCATCAAGACAATGCGAGTGCTCACATCTCATCTAACAACCGACTATTCGAACATTCAAAAAATTTAATTGATGGGTCATTCGCCGTAAAGTCTCGATTTGGCATCCAATGATTTCTTCTTGTCGGCAGAAGAAACCGTTGTTGCATTTAAAAGCCATGTTTTAGGGGTGTCTGAAAAAGAATATAAAGATGCTTAAACAAATGGTTTGAATGCATGCAAAAGTGTATTAATCATAAAGGAGAATATTCGAGAAACAATAAAGCAATTTTCAACGGCAAGTTAGTATTTTTTTCATTATTAGGTTCAAAGTATATATAGTGACCCTCGTACAGCATTACGTAACCAATTTATTTTTGGTTTAAAAACCAAACTATACAAAATGGGAAACTGAAAAAAGAAAAATTGAAACCATCATACATAAAGCAAAGCAAATAATATGAACTGCAAAAAGTTAAAAAAGTTCCGAATCAAAAATTACAAAAAACAATACAAAACGTCAGAATGAGAAAAACAAAACGCTTTTATTTTATTTGTTTTAATTATTTAATTTATTATTTAAATATCTATATAATTTATTTTTCTCTTATATACAAAAAAACAAAGTAAAATATCTTATTTATTATTTTGAATTATTAATGATGTTTTAACTAAAATTTGAGTTTCTTTCCAAAAGTAGTATTTGCTTTCATAATTAGGTTATAAATGTCTTTCAATTAATAAACTGTAATAATAGTTTATAATAGCACAGATGTAACAATTGATTCTATTGATTTAAACAACAATAGTTAACGTTTTAATTTGTGGAAAAAACCCGTGTGGATAAAATAAATAAATAAAAAATTTAAAAATATTAAATTTATTTTAATTATTTTATTCAAATATATTTAAAAATCTCATCATTATAAGTTACTTACATATTAAATTAAACTCTTTTTAACTTATCTCCCACACTATTTGCTTGGGAAAGATTTTGTGCAAAATTCCAATTCCCATTCCTATATGATTTAGAATAGGGAAACTGGGAAAAGGGAAAAACTCCCATTCCCATGTGATTCAGATATTTTTATAACTTAATTTAACATAGTATTTGCATTCAAGGACTTTTCGTTAAAAAAAATTATATATAATAAAATCAAATTTTAACAAATAAAGTTTGGAAGTCTGAGTGATCTTAAATCATCATTTAAGATAACATGTTAATGATAATTTCAATACATTTCAAACAATTTCAATACATAAATATTTTTTTTGTTTGTGAAGAAAACAATTCAACTTAATTTAATACTTAATCATTTCCAAGTTTGTGTGCTGTAGCAATTTAGATATAGAGTTTTTTCAGGTCTTTATGAATATCGTCGTTTGTGATATACCATCTAGTATCTACTATTGCTTGCAGGATTTTTGATTGCAGTCTCTAGATAGTATTTATATTTGTTCTTGAAGACTTCTTTGACAGCGTAACCGCATAAAAAACAATTGATTGGATTATTATTTTGGAAAAGTAGAAGTTTTGTTTATTGTTCCTCTAACACTCAATTTAATATGATATCAATTTTCGTATAAAGGTTATAATATCCTAAATAAAATAAGTTTAAAATTATTTACAATTAATAACGTAAATGAGTACTTTATAATTTATCTTTTATAAATATGGAAGATCAAGAATAACTTGTAAAAATACAAATCTTATAAATGCGCCTTTACTTTAATCATAGGTCGTCCAATATTGAAAGGTAATATGCCAGTTTTATCTACTCATCAGCCTCAGAAACAACAAAATGCAAAACAAATGGCTGAAATCTCTTTTGCTTCAAAAATGGAGTTGCAGCAAATACAGCAACAAAGATTAAGAAGTAAATCTAATTGTCAAAATATAATAAATCATCAGCAAACTTCAAACCAGACTTTCTTAAACCAAATGCCGCAGTCACATTCATCAAACATGCCAATTCATTTGACACAGCATCAAATGTATCAACAGCAACAGCAGCAACAACAACAACAACAACGTGCTCTAAATGTTCACAGACATCGACAACATGCCATGCAACAACATCATCACCAGCAGCATAATCAAATAGATAATAGTTGCCACCCAACAAGTAAGGATACGTTAAAAGTAATTGCCAATAAAAGTAATAAACTTTAATTTTTAATATTTTAGTACCAAATGTAGGAAGTGAAAATGGTGGGATTAATTATCAACGAGACGGGCGGTTGTCTCCTACTAGTAATCAACTAGCTCAATGGTTTTCTCCTGAATTACTAGCTCAAGCAACCGCTGGAAAACTACCACTGATTAACATAAATCAAGCTTTGAGTTTAGAAGAATTTGAAAGAAGTATACAACATTCCTCAGCAGCTGTACATAACTAATTCACATAAATTTGTCAGTTATGTGATATCTTTATTTTTTCATATTCAATAATTGTTTCATTTAAATAGCTAAATCTAATACACGTATAAACACTACTGGTCCTTTTAATTCTTAATATAAAGAAAATTTTATTTGTATATGTAAGTGATTGTTGCCGTGAGTATTACAAACTTTTTTTATTCTTTTTTTATACTCGTTGATTTTAATACTAATACAATTAAAACTGTACTTATATTAAAATCAGCAGATTAGTATTGTGGAAGAAGGATATTAGAAGATTTTCTTGAAATAATATCTCATATTAATATTAATATTAATATTTAATAAAATAAAGCTAGTCCGTTTGACGATTACATCTATTATAAGATAACATTAGACATAGTAACATGCAAATTTTGTTTGGTTAAATTGGAGATAAAATAAAATATATATAATATTGTAAACACAAGTGCTGCTTCTAGTTAGTTTTCCATAAGTTCTAGTGCAGTTGGTCGTTGCCATTGAGCATTATTCTATATTAATGCATATGCTTCAGAAAAGTGCAACGAATGGATCACATTATGGTGCCAACAATAATATTCGTTGCGTTTCTTGAATATTCATTTGCTTACAACAACTGCGAATCGTGCGATGTTGTGCTTTTTCGTTCGCTAATTGATGCACTACTCTAGGTTGTATAACGTATTGTGTTGTACTGCATCATGCAACACATTACTGCTTTTCACTATGCAATGAGGTAATATGCAAATTACCTGGGTAAAAATCATTATATCTATATTTTTTATATAGATATAATGTTATAATATATCTGGCCAATATAGCCTATATTGTTTAAAAAAATTTTTGTTGTAATTTCACAACTATTCGATTAATACATCTACATAGAACACAATAGTTTATGTATGGTTTATACTCGAAATTTGATTTCTTTTGTCAAAACAGACAAAATAATGGAGGCAGAAATTTTAAATATAATACATATATAAAAACTTTAAATATGTGTTATTAAACACTAGGTATTATTAAAATGCCACTAGGTCTGCACTGACATCTAATATTTGAAATAAAATTGCCACTAAATAAATCATTTAACAGAAACTTACTTAAGTATTCATTTTTGATTGTCCCCATAAATTCAAATTTGTTTAGGTTTCTATTGCAAGACGGAAACATATAAATACAATTTATATAATATTTTTATTGCAAACCAAAATTTCTTAAATACTTGATATGCAGAATTATGCGCAAAACTCAATGCAGGTTATTTCTGTACGCGTCATTGTTCGTAGCAGCACATAGTACAAAGTAGTGAATAGTGAATATAGTTCTCTGTCATTCAAATAGGCTCGTAGACTCTCACGAAACTGAGTAGTGCGAATTTCTTCCTTCGTGTGCAAAAACGATTCGCGTTTAGCAGTATGTTCCATACTGATTTTCGAATGCATACATGTCGACCTCTGATATGCTTTAGTATTAACATAACGTGATAGTTGTTTATGTTCTTTCGTTACATCAGTGATAGTTATATATCTATATTGCGATCTAAGACAGTTTTTAATATTAAATGGATTATTTAATTTATTATCAATAATAAAAAAATAATGTTTTCATTATCGCATCAGAATTTCTGTAAACAAGTGAGGCTTAATATTTTTGATATGGTCGAGTGACTGCCGATAAAAAAATTAAAATGTGTTAAGTCTAATTCACAAACGCAATATAAGTCAACAAAATGTGTTTATATAAAAGGGGTTATACATAATCGAAAAGACCTTAGTCAAAGACACAAACACTGTTGCCCTATGGTATTTTATGAATGAAAGTATCCACCGAGATCTACAAATTCCATCGGTTAAAGCTGAATTTGGCAAAATAAGAAAAAAATACAATAAAAGGCTGACAGAACATGTTAACCCCTAAGCAAGGAATCTCGTACTTCTACTCACTACTTTCCGCCTAAAAAGAGCTTGAAGTAAAAACCCCACTAGCCTTTTTAGTAACCTAACAAAGTTTAACTGCTTTCTTAATAAACCACTTAACACTCACTCGAATAAAATTTAACCCATTGATTTAAGTAAGGTGATATAAAGTTTACTTATTTTATTTTATATTATACAAGGTATAGTTAAAATAAAAATTGTGATATTATGTAATTAGTGATAAGATTTTAAAACTTATTAGTCTCATTGTAAGAGAAGATACAATAAATAAATGTATTTAAAAAAAACGACTACCGATTGCAGCTTCCATTGTTTTGCTACCACGAAAGCAGCCTCAATTTCAAATGATGTGGTTTGAAGTCGAACGCATAGAATTTTAGTCGTTTCCCAATGTTGTCGTCTCTTCAGTAATTCCCAGATGCTAACTTTTCCAGCTGACCGTCCAAGCCCGAATGAATCCTGTTCCAATGCGAGTGCACTTCTTCGGCATTAATTTGTCGAAAGTGTTCCGTGCCGTTCGTCTGTTCTCACAACGGCATTGTCTCAAGTACGTTTAGATGCAATAGTATGAGATGTGTAGAACTGTGCAAATATCGGCTTTTGTGTAGCATAGTTTTAGGTGTGTCACACAATAAATATAATATGGATTCGAGGACATCACACTGTGTTAAACTATCGTTTATTTCTCTTATTTCATAGAATGCATATATTAATTATTAAAATAAATTTAATATATTTAAATTTTTACTTTTTTTTATTTCATCCACTTGGGTTGATCAGTTTTTTGAATATGTTTTAATAAAATTTTTATAATTTAACATATATAAATTTGTATGTATTTATTTTATCCATACGGGTTTTTTCTACAAAAGCGTTAACTTTTGTTATTTAAAACAATAGAATAATGAAAGGAACTCAAATTCTAGAATGAATGGGATTCCTTGAATAAGTTAATATAAGTTTTTGTAATTATACGCAGATAAAACATTGTTTCTTTTTTATTGTAACATCTGCGTAATCAAAAACTGTTATTACAGTTTATTAATTGAAGGACATTTCCATCCATCCTGGCGTAATGTAAAAACCAAAATATAAACAGCAATTAACTTAATGGTCCAGCGTTCATTAGCATTTAGCGTGTTTCCTCTACTTATAACAGATATGTTTAATTAATAAAAAAGTGGTAATAAAGAAGTACCACATTGTTGACCCCGAAAAGAATAAGCAACGACATTAGTGAATTCGAGTCAGTAAGCAGCAACATGGAATCAGACAAAAGCTGCAGCAATACAAGCACCATTGAACGATCTCCTAAAAGATTCTGAGAGGAATGATAATATCAAAGTAGTGTGGTCGTCGGGGCTCAATGCAGCATTCGAACAATGTAAAGCAAGTTTCTCATCAGTTGCCAAATTAGTACTCTTGTCACCAACATATCCATTACGATTGTTGACGGACGCATTCCGCAATTGGTTTCGTTCTTGAACAATAAATAGGTGATCAGTGAAAGCCAGTTGCATTTTACTCTGCAAGGTTAAAAGCAGCCCAACTTTTAACAGTTTACCTTTCGATCAAACATTTTCGATATATGCTTGAAGCGCTCCATTTTACAAATTAAACTGGTCAAATATCACTCACTTTTGTATTCAGACAGAAAGTGATAAAACTATCACCTCGCCAAACGCGAAAATAAGATCATTCATCCCCAAATTACTGAGCAGAGACATATTTAACCCGTTATACTCGTTATTGCATTCTGGTGCCAGAGCCACATTACATCAATTAACGTCAAGGTATGTTTGACCGTTAATTCGTCAATATGTGAAATCATGGATTCGTCAATGTCAAACCTGCTAACGATCAAAGTCAATAAACGTACTAAACCAGCTCCAATATTCTTTCCAGACCAACGATCGATAGATTCAGTCGGTGGCCGAAAGTCACACCTCTCAAAGACATGACAATAGACACAGTGACAGCAAATTTCTTTGCCACGTGAATTTCACGCTTCGGTGCACATAAGCTAATTTCAACCGATCAAGGCCTCCAGTTTGAAACAGATTTGTTTGGAGCTCTCATCGATCTACCCTGAAAATAGCTCTCATAGCTAAACCCAAACAAACATGGTTGCAGTTATTTTCATCAGTACTACTGGGCTTGAGGTTAGCATTAAAAGAAGATCTAGGCACATCAGCAGCAGAATTAAGTATTATGAAATAGTTGTTAGAAATTTAACATTTATTACAGATATTAAGCTGTTTTCATTTATAATATTATTATTATTATCAGTTTCTCATTTCTATCATCAATTTTGCTGTATTTATTTTTTAAATGAATTATTTTTCATTGTATATTCGCTGTATTGAAATATCTTCGCTTTAAAATATCGACAATCGACAATTTACATCTGTTTCTGCGTCGTTAATATTCAAACATAATTTTAGATGTTAATTGTAAAAAAGTTTACAAATACATCTGATCGATTCAAAATGTTTGTAAATACTGACCACTTAAATCCAGGTATCAAGTTAATTCTATATCAAAAGTTATTATTTCTCATGTGTGCGGTTGTAGAGCGTTTAAATTAATAAAAGGAAAAAAAACATTGTGCAGATAAAATTCTATTATTTCCGTTACTATTTTAAATATTTTGGCATCCCTTGTGGAGAGCAATATTAATTTCAGCTTTTGCGATCACTTGCTAAACTTTATTACTACTATGGCAGCACTGCACCAACGAACTGACAGAAAATGTCAAAAGAGAAAAACAGATGTTCGGTAAAAAGAAGCGTCGATTCAGTAAACGATTAACTTTGTAAACGTGTTCAATAACTATTAATAATAAATTGGGTTTTAATAAAACAATAAAACTTACACTACTTACGGGCGCTACGCTCTCTATCGTGAAATAAGTTAGTAAAATATTCATCAACAGCTCGAAACCACGTGACTTGCTTCTGCCATAGTTTCAAAACTAAGCCCTGTAAAATACTTTACTGATGCCGCTGTGCACAATTGTTTATTTCAGTTTTATTAATGTGTTTTGCTAAAATCGTGCTAATTTGATAATTCTTTCTTCCCCATAAAAAAGGAACGTAGTGTGGAAAAATTAACCAGCCGCTCTAAAGAGATTTTCTGTAAATACGAAAAAAAGTGGCTAAAATCAAACAAGCGAAAGGCTACTTTATTGACCGATAGACGTTAATGGATAGTTATTGGGAAAAATATAATGAAGCACTAGAATCGTGACTTGCAAAAAACAATGACGTCTCGTCGAGCATTAAAGCAAGGGGGTCAATGTTATCTTTAGTCAGTGGGAAAATCCATATTGATATTGATGCGACATATTCTGAAACCATGAGGTGATTGATTTATTATCAAGAGTTCTGTTAGCAAAACAACGCAAATATGGAATTATCGTCATATCTGTCGCGCATTAAAGTCCACTCGTTCGATAGAAATTATTTAAGTTGGTGTTCGTTTAAGGATTTATTCACGTCCGTTGTCATGAATAACTCTGCGCTTTCCAATACACAAAATCTTCAGTATTTAAAAGAAGCTTTGGTGATGGGCGCTGAACACGCTTTAGATAATATTTGTACTATATATGCATATTTTGCAGTAGCATGGGAGTTACTTGTAAGAAAGTAGGAGAATAAAAGAGTAATCATCAACTTCCACCTCAAAGAAATGTAAAAACGATTCCCAACGGCTCACCACAAAGTTTGTGCATACTTTGTGATACTATTACTTCTGCTCAGCTTGCTTTGGAACACCTTGGTCGGCCACTACAACATTGGGATGACTGATCAGTATTTACGCTGTTAAATAAACTAAAACACGAGCGACCTGGAAGCTGTCAACATCCAATTCGGAGCAAATCCTCAAATTTGAAGAGCTGACAATATGTTTAGAAAAACGAGTGCAGTCACTAGAAATTGTTAATAGTATTGTAACGACACGTTTTGTTCGTCCCCATTTACTGGAATAAACATAGTGCTTGGTCCTGTTTCGTTGCAATAAATTTTTAAAGAATGAGAACACAGTGTCTATATATTAATTTTCAAATGTGTATTTATTAGATTTTGTTTTTGAAACCTAACAATGTTTAAGATATAAAGATATGTTTAAGATATCGTACTAAATTTTATATGGGATTTGCTCGCAACGGTAAAAAAGTATTCACGCCTATAATGGGTTTAGTTAAAAATATATAAACATACAGCGGCTTTCTGTGGCTTGTGTTTGTATTCTTCTTAAGTAGAATAAAAGTCCCAAATCTTGTATTTACGATACAGAATTTACTTTATTGTAGTTCGACAATTTATGAAACTGAAAACAAGAAACTTATTCCTTACTTTTTTCTTTCTATTTAAAATATTCTATTGTCAATATTTTTGAATTCAATTCAAGCTTGCCGTAGCGTGAAGTGTATACCTTATGTTATGTTAGTCAGTGGATTCATCCGTTGCTGAAGACTTAACTCCTTGTTCCTTAACATTGTGTTCATTACAAAATACTTGTCAAAACTCTTAAGTACAGGGAAAGGATCTTCGTATGTAACTTGTAGTGATTTACAAATCATAGCATTCTTGACAAAAACCTGACCCGAGGAATAAAGATCTTTTTCAATGAATACCTTTTCACTAGAATGATGAGCAGTTTTAGTAGATCTTAACGCGCTCACAATCTTTGCAGTTTTCCGACGAATTCCGTCTGAGGGGTTGTGATGTCGCCATTTGCTTTCGATATGAATTCTCCAGGTAAACGTAAGCCAGCACCATAAACTCGTTGTGAAGGAATATTTTCTTTCACTACGATTTTAAATCCGAGAAGGATTCGAGGTAAGATTTCTATTCAGTTTTCATTCTGATAACACTACTAACACGTTCACTACGACTTTAAATCGGAGAAGGATGACAGGTAAGATTTCTGTCCAGTTTTCATTCTGATAACACTTAATAGCTGCTTTCAAAGACCTGTGAATCCTTTCAATAATACCGTTAAGCTCTTTGCCTTCTAGCATGTGGAGAAAGTACTAAAAGTTCCCTGTCGTAGGTACAATAGTTCCGTCAGTTAGACGCTCAGAATAAAAACCTAGCGATTGGAAATTTTCTTCAAATACCTGCTGCAATACGGCACCAACGGGAGAAATGAAGGGTCGCTGACAGACGAAAAATGTCGGATCATCCGGCTATACGCTTTTAAATACTCTGTCGTCTTAATAAGCGCACTAAAAGTAATACGCTAGTAAGAACTCCTGAAAATACGGATCAGATAACATACGAGGAGAACTGTTGAAGGAATTATTACAAAATAGGCTGCTGAAGAAACTCGACACCACATGAAATGTAGAGTCAGAAGTCAAGGCAATTACTGCTGCCATGATTAATGCATTCAAAAACACTTAATGCATTCGAAACCACTTGTCCCCACATCAGCATTGCAGAAAAGTCTTCGGCACTCTGATGGAATCAGGATCTTGATAATGTAATGTTATACGTACATTTTATTTATTCCACATTGCAAAGCGGCAAGAAGTTGAAATCCAACAATTATATACAAGTGCAAATAAAGAGTTTAAATTACTTTGTAAACGTAAAAAAAAATTTATATTACTCGGAGTTAGCTAACTCCTTAAGATCAGTTAATGATAGCAAAACGTATTGGAATATGTTGCGAAAACTTAATGGACAAAAGTTCACCAAAACTACAGAGTTAAATTCTACGCATTTGTCATATTACTTCTCAACGCTTGTAATACCACGTAATCTGAGGTGGTATCAAATAATGTATTTTCTTACTTCGTTACACTGACTATTAGGCACATAAACCAATAATCAGGTATTTATGACGAAAGGCTTGCAGGCACATAAACCGCTAGCCAAGTAAGTAAATAATTTTTATTTACTTGCTATAGTGGTTAAAAGGCACATCTACCAATAACCAAATTTTGTTTTTAAAGGAAAGACGATTGTTTTCGCTTTCGAGTTTTATTATCAATATTGTTACCTTATATAGTATAGAATTACTTACTAAGCATAATAATATTTACAATTATTGATAACTAAAATAATAATTTAAATTTCACATATTGCTGCATAAGCATAAATACAATATGTGAAGCTATTGAACTTATAAACGTAAACAATGTATTTAATATTTACAATATTTATTTGCTGCATAAGTGTAACTACAAGCGAGCTAAAATATGTTAGGTTTGTTAAACTTAACATTCTGCCCGGCTTGAATTACGTTATTCAAGAATGAATCTATGAGCAATGATTGATTTGATTTGCAATGCGTTATGTGTTTTTTTTTAAAAATCAACAGACAAAATTTTAAAATAATTACAACATTTTGTGGATATATAAATACACATATAATTTTTAAACAATAAATAGTTATACAATATTATATAAACTTAAAAATATAAAATTTAGAGTTTATAGCATCATGAGAATTTGAGAAGCTATGTAATTGTTTCAGGCTCCAAAGTAAATCTTGTTCGTGGCATCGCGTTTGGTGTGAGAGTTTGTGTTGGCTGATTGACTTCTGGACGCTTTACCTGCTTTATTTTCCATATCATCCATATGATGGCTCCAACGACAAGAATTAGGGTTGTGGAATTAATTGCGTAGTGGTGCATGCTGTCCGTCTGTAGTTTGTGTGGTAATTCAGCGAATTTTTCATCTTTCAGAGTATTGTAAAGTAGCTTTAACTGTTTAAGTTCATTGCTGACATTCAATGAACTTCCTTTAAAATTTGACCATAATTCTGAGTTATTAATGACAGGTATCTCACCAAATGCAATGTAAGATTCATACATGGTGTCGATAAGCGTTTGATGTGTCTGAATTGTAGACGTTTGGTGTTTGAGTACACAGTCGTCTTGTAATTTCAGAAGTGTTGCACCTTGTAGTTCTAAATGAGTCGTGATGCCCTTACAGACGGCCGTAACTGTTGTATTGTTTTTTGACCCGAATATCCATTGGATCGCATGATACAGGGGACTCCAAATAATGTTCGATTTTGTTTCCTGCACATTACACGTATTGTCAGATATGTTTTTTAATAGGTTAAATTCGCAAGCGTACGCCTGTGAGCCGATGTTATATTTTGATTGTTTATCCGAACAGAGTAGTTTGTTTTCTGGTTGCTTGAAAGTCATACACTCCTTATACTGTTCACGAGTTAAGGCAAAATATTGGTCTCTATGCGGCGTGGCAGCTAAAAATGAAGCTTCTGGAACTATTGTCATCATTGTATTGTTGACTGTTGCAGGAATTGGGACGAGATTGAATAAATCGAAATCCTCATGATCGGTTAATGGCAGTTGTAAGACAACTATCAAATGATCTTGTGTGATTCCACTTTGTGAAGACATCAACGTGTATAAATGAATAACGTCCTCTTGATTAAATGGAAGACGAAGTGAATGAGGTAAATGGCCCTTGATCTTCATGATTTGGTCTTGAAGTTGCTGTGGAGACATCAAAAGAGAATTAATTCTGCCATGCTGAGTATCAGTTAAGACATCAAATATCGCAGCTTCAATTTTTATTAATGTATGTGCCATCCATATAAGTTGGGTTACCAGTGATGTATAGATCTCTAGGTGGTTAATACGTTTAGTACATATTATGATTAGTGTAATCTACTATTTTGTTTGTCTCATCTTGTAGTTGATTCATTTTAACTGCAATGGCTTCTGTAGTTTTGCTGAATATATTTCGCGTTGAGTCCATGACTGTAGTCTGATTTTTGATCATTTTTGATAGTACATCTTCATTATTGCTGATTTGAGTTAGAGTTTTAGAAATCGTTTCAGCATATTCTGAATCTAAAACACCAAATAATTTGTTAGCAATATTTCCAACTATATTGATAGCTCCTCTGGCTGATTGGTGTCTCGTCATAACCTTCGTTTCAGTTCGTAATTCTATGTTAGTATTATTGAATTGGCGGACGAGCTCATAACAGCTTTCTTGTTGCTGTAACAATGAGCACAATTGCTGAAGTGCTGCTGTGCCATTTTGAAACCTTTCAATCTCCTTTCGAATAGGCGCGAACTCAAAGTAAGTGATAATTTTCCATCTTCCAATGATTTGATTTACGGTGCCAATTTCTTCAAAATATATTCCGGGTTTGTTTGGAAATGATATTTCTTCAATGGGTTTCGAAAGTATTAATGGCATCATCAATATTGTCACAATATTGTCAATATTGGTCATCATTAAAGATGTGCCATCATATATCTTTCGACGCTTTGGCAACACTTCACTAGGTTCATTCGTTCGTCTTGTTTGTGTGACAGTAGAATTTTGTTTTGTTGGATTTTGATTAATGCTGCCTTCAGTGGGTAGGGGGGCCAATGCTCGTAATGGTCGTTTAAAAATCCCATTGGCTGTTTTTATGTCAGCTACACGGACCAAGCCATCTTCTCCTTCATACACCTGTTGCACCCTGCCAAGAGGCCATTTGTACATGGGTAGATTATCATCTTTAATAATGACTAAATCACCTTGGCATAGATTTGCCTTTTGTTGTTTCCATTTGTACCTTGATTGGAGTTCATTGAGATATTCCTTTGACCATCTTCTCCAGAATTCTTGTTTGAGTTCAGAAACTAGACGCCATCGTGATGATAAACTCATTCGGCTCTCCTTTTGATAGGGATCCACATTAGTGGTAGGTGGTTCGCCTATGAGAAAGTGTCCTGGTGTAAGCGCTGTTAGATCATTTGGATCGGATGACATTTTTGTTATTGGCCTTGAATTTAACATGGCTTTTATTTCAGTTATGACTGTTGTCAATTCTTCATAAGTCAATGAAGCGTTGAAAATTCCTTTAATCATTAAATGTTTAGCTGACTTGACGGCAGCTTCCCAGAGTCCTCCAAAATGAGGAGCTCTTGGTGGAATGAAGTTGAAGTCAATTCCCTTGTTACTACTGGTCTTAATGATCTTTTCTTTACCATTTTCTGAATAAATGGTAGACTGGAGCTCTTGTAGTTGGTTTCTCGCCCCAACAAAGTTAGTCGCATTGTCACTATAAATTGTTTGGCATCTTCCTTTTCTGCTGATAAAACGTTGAATAGCGGCTATGAATGCCTCTGTTGTCAGGTCACTCACCACTTCTAGGTGAACAGCCTTAGTCGCGAAACAGCAAAATACTGCTAAATATGCCTTTGTTGGCCTTTTTCCTCTAATTTTATAATGAATCCATATCGGACCACAGTAATCAACTCCTGTGGTAAAAAATGGTTTAGTCAGAGTAACTCGATCAGTCGATAAGTTGCCCATGAGTTGGTCCATCAGTTTTGGTTTTGCCTTTGAACAGATGACACAGCTGTGAACAATGTTTCGCGCCATAATCTTTCCTTTAATCGGCCAGAAGTTTTGTCTCATTATGCTTAGCAATAATTGTGGAGCACAATGGGAATTTTCTTCATGTTTCATTTTGAACATCAATTTCACTATTGAGTGATTGTAAGGAATTACCATTAGGTGTTTAGCATCATATGGCAATGTTGATGCTTCAAGCCTTTCTCCAACACGAAGTACACCTTGTTCGTCAATGAACGGTGCTAAAGTATTTAGTTGACTCGAACTGTTGATTGCTTTACATTGTTTTAAGTCAGAGATTTCCTTTGCAAATTCTGAGCCCTGAATAGTTTTAATTATGAAGACTAATGCATCTCGTAATTCCTTTGGAGAAAGTTTTCTTGTTGGTGATTGTGTGCGATGAAATACACGGCGAACATAAGCAATTGTTCTTTGGAGGTATCTGAATGAGTTTCGATGATCAATTTGATTTATCATGTGATCAGAACCAGTCGTTTGAATGATAATGTTAACTGTATGTCCTTGTCGTCTTTCGATATCAGTTGAGATGTTAAATGCCTTTGGGTTTGGCTGTTGCCAAAATTCGTTGCCTCCATGAAGAAAGAGTGGACCAAAAAACCATATATGTGAATAATTGAACATTTTAACTTTTATTCCTCTGGAAATGATGTCAGCTGGATTATCCTGGATTACGCCACATGATGCCATTGATCAGCATGTGACATCTCTTGAATTTTGCTAATACGATTTGCTACGAATGTGTGCAATGAGGCAGATGAAGATATTATCCATGACAAAACAATTTTGGAATCGGACCAAAAGTAGGTTGGCACGTTTTGATACTTTAAATCTTGTTTAACTCTTTCTGCTAATTCGACTCCCAGCAATGCTGCGCAGAGTTCTAGTCGTGGAAGTGTCTGTTTCTTTAATGGTGCTATTCTAGATTTGGCGCACAATAGTCTCGATGTTATTGTCT